TATTGATGCAGAATATCCGTTAAAATCATGACAAAGAACATCGTTCATTGGTTTGCTTGCCATAAACATATCTATTAAGACTTTTGCTTCGAAATTGATATCGTGAAATATTGTAGGATCGATTTAGCTACAAAATGATAGCGTTCAAAATGTATTAGCAAGAACAACCACGTACTTTTCTCGTTCCCCTAGCTCATTCCTTCATATTTTTAATGACTCTCATGTGGACATCTTTACGCACACCTCACCAATTTAATAGTATTATAACCATCATTTAATTCCTTATCATTTCCTTTCTTATCACTTTGATTATGAAGTACGTAGTAATCAGATGAAGGGCGTCAACAGTACACTGTTCAGTGGCATACTTCAACAGCAGTTTTGCTGATGAATCTTCAACTTATGAACGTGTGCAGACTTGAATTAATTTAAACAAGTAATATAATGCTGACAATATATTTGCACCCATTTCTGTGATATTTTTAATAGATTATTGTAGAAAACAAAGTATCAGTGTGGACGGCAGCAATTTTCGAGATTCAAGTGCATATTACGCTTGTCTTTACATACACTTTCCATCTATTGTTCATATTGATGAGTTTGCAAAAAGTTTGCTTAACTCGGTCACGCTGTTGATTAATCGGAACCCCTCTCATATGATGATACGAAAACACAGCGCAAAGCAACATCAGATTGTATGAAACGAAGATCTTGAACATTTAGTTTATTTATTCGAACAACTCTTTATAAACTATACAAGCAAGAACGATAAACCTATAGACTGAACCGCTGATAATGAGCTCACTAAATTCATATAGTCTGGTATCAATGGTAAAAAGGACCACTGAGACATCCGGAAACATGAATTGTTAGAGAGCTTCAGCTCGGTTCATATGGCATTACTTTTCCAACATCCTGAAACACTACAGTCTGCAAAAACACATAACTTAACATGAAAGACATACGCAGAAGTATTGACTGCAACAATAAGAAGTCCTACAAATTTAGGAAACATCATCAGTTACATAATCGGTTAAGGCGATATTACGACGTATTGGAAGCATTCAGTTCAATGAAGTGAGTGTATTAGAACAAAGAGATACGCTAAAAACACCGTATGAAGATTGCAAATTATTAACATGAGAACGAAACGAACCTTGGAAAAAAGTTTGACAATTCTATGCATATGCATATTTATTGAACGCAACTGCAAGATGAAAAGAAATGAAAACATTTACAACAACTGAAAACATCGCAGTTTTTACACGAAAATTCTCCATGAAAAAAAAAGAAAAACAAAAGAATTCAATTACGAAAACTCCAAATTCCATGAATAATTCATCAACACTTCATAATAACTCAAACAGTGCGCATATACAAATGCTTTCAAAAAAGTGAAAGCACGTATGCAATAGCGAATTTACCTTAAAACATGAAAA